ATAGAAAACTATTTTAACTGTCTTTTGTAGAAACTTTCTACTTTTAGTATTAATATTTAATAATAACTGTCCATTAAATTATATTGTGTAAATTCATCTTTATTGCATTGTTTTATTGTAGCTATACGTTTGCAAGATGTCAAAATTTAAAAAAAAAATAAAAATAATAGCTTATTTTTTATTAACTCAATAAAAAATTCAATTAGTCATATGTTATTAATCCAAAGGTCCATGTCTCATAACAAATTATTTTTACAAACAATTTGTATAGTAATAATAATTGTTCTAAATAGTTTTAGGTTTTTTAAATATTTGTACACACTATTTAATTTATAGATATTATTTACTCAAATCCTTCACCTCTCTGCAATAATCGAATATAATGATAATTTCTTTATTATATTAACACGAAATATTTTATACTTCATCATATTTATTTACTGAAAATCATCATAGTGTTTTATACAATAACGACATTACAAGTTAGTTAATATTTATATTGCTTTAAAAATATAGTAAATTTGGGACTTTTTAATATACTTATGTATTCATAATTTTAAGTATATTATTTGATAACTAAGATAGGTGTATGAACAGTTGAATTAGTGATATTGTTTTGTTGGAGTAAATTAAAAAAAAACTTTTGAAATAACAACTAAATAGAAAGGAACAAATCTGTACCTTGGTACAAGTAAAGAGTATCTACAATAATAAAAAATAAAATTTTCAAATAACTTCATAGTTACTTAGTTGATCATAGTTTATTATTTCAGATAAGTCCTAAAAAAGAATTCTCACTCTAAAGTTTACTAAAGTAAACTTACATTATGTTGCTAAAATACTTAAGAATTCTATAATAGTTACTTAAAAATAGAATTTTTTTCCATTTTTATAGATAGACCTTTTTGGCTCAGGAAACAAAAATATAAGGCTTAATAATTTAATTTAACGTTAAGGCAATAGCGTCAGTCAGCAGATGGTGATCAATTTATATTAAGGAAATTAAGCTCGAGTCGTCTATAATATTGTTTTCTCTGAATCTTCTCTACTTTTACAATTTATTTTACTTATGTAAATGAAACATGTATATTTATTGAGTTTTATTAAACATTTGTAATTTTTTTCTCGAAATTTTAACTATTGACTTTTTGACTATTAAACCAATAAAGTAAAACAAAAATTAAAAGTTTTCTCAAAAAAAATAAATAAATAAATAAAACTCATATAATTTATATAATATTTTTAGTGCTGATTTTTTTTTATCGATTCCGATGATTGAGAAATATAAATTTACTACAAAAAACCCAGCACAGTGGGGTCGCGGCACAGTGGTGACGTGGCATAGTTGGGTCAAGTATAATGATATTTGACAGTGATTAAAATCACTATCATAAAAAACGCTTCGATGCGAATCTTTAGATAGTGTTTAATTTTAAAAAATTGGTTGATTATTCCAAAAGCTACATGATCTACTATTTCTTTATTTATATCCTGATTAAGATAAAGTATGTCGAATAAAAGAGGGATATAAATATTATTTCTCATAAAAATTGTATTGATGTAAAATGTAAAAAATAAAATCTAGTATTTTAACACAAAAATAGCATTCGGTAGTCATTTTCACCATGAAGACAAAATAAAGTCCGAAATTTTTTTTTTGCATAATAAAGTATATTACATTAGCTTTAATTTAAGATATATATAAAAGTGTCAGACCTTCCGGAACATTTTCAAAAGTTAAGTTGAAAAAGTTAATTTTTTGTAAAAAAGTTGTCATTTTAAATCCCCCCCTGTGGGCAGGTAAAGGGTCAGATTTATAAAAAAAATATACCCAATGAAAGGCTAAGACATCACGTATCTATACAAAAAAAATTATATTGATCCATACATTTTTTAAAAAGTTATAGCAGTATAAAGTTAAAAACATAAAAAAGAATTTTTTTAAAAAAATGTATTTTTTTTATTAACTTTGATGTCTGTACGATTTGTGATCTTTTGACGTATCGTTGGAAGAAATCCGTTCGAGGAGAGCTGAGAAAAAGTGGTAACAGACACAAAAAAAAAACACATTTTAGTAAAACCAATACCTTCTCAGATTCGCATCGAAGATAAAAAATTATGCATATTATATAACAAAAAATTCTTATTAAATATTAAAATACTATTTAAATCATACAGTATTTATTATTTTTGACATATGAATATATTTCACGTAAAATATGAATTATATTATGTGTTAAATATAATTATATATGTTATAATTTATCAGTATATAATAAAATTTTCCGATTTGAATATCTTAGGTTTATTTGATTCAGGAATAATATAATTTATAAAAAAATACTGCAGTGTTGCTAGTTTGAAAATTTTAATTGTCTACCTAAATGAAAATTACTATGATTATTCAATTAAAATTATGTAAGAAATTAACTTCTTTTAAATGAACAGTTATTATTGTTATTATTATTATTTGTCAGTTCTTCCAGTTACATAAATTAATGTAAATAAATGAGAAATTGGTATACATATTTGAACGTATACCAATTTTTTAATAGTATTGTATTAATAATTAAGACTTCTTAAATTATACATTTTTGAATTCATATGATGATATAGTTTAAGATACATAAATGAATAGAGTATGAGGTAATTTTTATCTGTAAAATCATGATTATTAAAATTTGTGCTTAACTATTTGATACAGTTTAGAGTATATTATAGTAAAGGTTCAACTTTCATTTTGTTTAGTCACAATCCTTGACTGAAAGGTTATCAATCATTATTAACATAAAATGTCTATTAATCAATAATAACCATAATTTTTAATCTTATTAATTTCTACTGCCATAGATTTACATTAGAAATGAATTAAATTAAATTTTAGAAAATTAACGTGCAATATTTTCTTAAATATTTTTTTTATTGCCTTATAATAATAAAACATGACAGTATTTTAGATAGCATAATTTAATATTTAAACTACTTCGATACAAAATAAATATCAATAATGCTTTAAATCGAACTAGAAAGGATAAAAATGCAACTTATAGAGGGTGACTTCGTCAGTGAATTAATAATTAATAATTTTCGATTTTTTTAAAGTTCTTTATTTTTTTATTTTTAATGACACACTCGTTAAGTTAATATATACTTGTTCTTTGAAAGTTCTCTAATTTTATATTTTATAAATATTTAAAATTAATTGACTTTAAAATTTTAATTAATTATTTTATATGGACAATTGGAATTTTCAGATGAATAAACAGTTAATTATATAAAGTTAATGTTTTATTAAAAATTGCTTTATTGCAATAAGACATATTTTAATTTGTTATAACTTATTTTCTTATAAAAACTAGTAAAATCAACTGACGATCAGAATAAATAATTTTTAAACTAATAATATGTGCAGTTCATTCACTGAACTTTCATGTTATTCTTGTATGACTTCAACATCATCAAAATTTTTTAATTTAAGTTTAATGTTAAGTCTTAATCATATAATACTGATGTGGTTTGAATAATTTTTGAATATTTTAGGTCTAATTATCATTACTTAGATGCATAAATTATCGAATAAATTAAACAATTCTTTCCGTAATCTATCATTAAAATTTACTCATTGCTGCTATTATCCAATGCGTTTTAATTTGATATAATACAAGTATAAATATACACATAATAGCTGAGCCTATTTTATGATTTCAATATAAATAATATTTATTTTTATATATATAAGATTGAATATTTTTATTCAATTTTCAAATATCTAAAAAATATTTACTTATTTCAATGAATTTTAGTTGTTATTTTATTTGTACAATATTTGTTAAATCATGAAACACCAATCATAATTGATTTGTCATAAATTCTATTGGTTTAATAACATGATTAGGTGAATGCATTTTTTATGTTATAAACTCTAATTAGTTTGTTTTTATGAATGTTATCACTAAGTAAGGTGTTGTTTTGAACTTCTGAACTTGCAGAATTAAATAACAAAATCAAACTTGTTCAAATATTTGTTTTGATGATCTAATAAAAAATGTTACACAAAAAAAGTGTAATAGAAAATTTGTTTATGTTATTAATTAAAAATGTTCAGAGCTTAATTAATAATTAACAGTTTTAATTATTATTTGAGAGTTTTCAATCGTAGGATAACTATATAAACGTGTACTATTTAAAGAAGCAATTGTACTCATTAAAAAAGTAGTTACAACTATAGTAAATTAGTAGTACGACTTTATGGATAATTACTGTTCAATAATAATTATCATTGTGATCACCAAATTTTGAGATACCATAACAATTTTTTTTAATAATTTTTTTTATTAATCATAGTGAAATTTCAAAACATAACTAATCTATCATACAAATATTAAAGATGTATATATATTTTATTTAAATAAATTTGAGTTAAAAAGCGTCATAAAACTCGCTTAATATTTAAGGTGTTAATGGTATTATCTTTTTAAGAAAATTCTTGTAGTTATTACTAAAGATATTATATCTAAAATTAAGATATTTTTATAGTATGATCATAATGATCAAAAACAATAACCTAGTGTTCCTTTAGCGAATAATCTAAACTAACGAAAGTAATAGTGAATTCGAAATACATATTTGATTCCTAGTCTTTTGTAAATTATGTATGTCAGTAATTGGGAATAAAAGATAAGCATAAAAATATTAATTTATGCTTGTATAGATTTAATAAATGATCTCTATTGGTATGACCCTTATAAATAAATATATTATATTTATAGGTTATAAGTTTAACGTTAAATTCAAAAGCAAGAATCTGAATCAAAAGTTATTTCCAAATTAAGAGATGAATCAATTATTAATGTGTCCTTATTTTCAGACAATTTTTTACAATAAAATTGTAGTATGTACATCTAATAAATACATTCTGATTACCTTTTTATTGCATTACTAGCGTTATTTTCTTATCTGAGACAGTAACAAAGTATACACGATGACCATTTATATAAATAGGTGATTAGTTCAGTATAACAGTGTAGTTCTCTTCGTGTGTTTGTCATCAGCAGACCACTTTAATAAAATATTAATTTTTTTCGCATAATATCTTATAAAACAATACAAGTTGAAAATGGTCTCTGCAAAATTTTTGTTGATCGTTGGAGCAGTAGCTATCGCACAAGTGAGTCACACGGATTATTTACAGCATACACTTCCATTTTTCTGTTGTTCAAATAAACTATTTGACAATACTTTTAAACATAGATCAATGCTAAGCCTGCCGAAAGCAGTGATTGGTCACTTCCATTTGAAAAAAGCTTCCAAGACATTGCTAAACAAATCAAAGATGTAGTTACTGGCTCAAATACTGAACTCATTGAAGCAGCTAAAACAAATTTGAACAAATTCCAAGACCAATTCAGATCTGGACTCGCTTCATTATCTGATACGGTAGCATATTATTTAATAGTTTAAGTGGTATGCAAACATTTTACATTTCATTTTTAATATCATAGATCGAAAAGAAAACTGGAGAATCTGAGGTGTTGAAAGATGCTGTTAAACAATGGAAAAAGGCCGTTGACACCTACAACCACAGTGTTCCTGCTGACCTTACTGCTGACAAGCTCAACGAAAAATACGAAAAGACTTTGAAATACATTAAGGAACAAGCTAACGATGTTTACAAGAAAGCTCAAGGAAACTCTGAAGTCGAAAAAGATATTAGAGATTTCACCAAAAAGCAACTTGACTACTTGATCGATAATCTTAAAACCGTCCAAGTAAATAATTATTACAAAAAACATAACAACGAACCAAAATTAAATTATTAAAAATTTTTCAGACCAAAGTAGCTGCTGCAACCAAAACTAACTAAAACAATGCTAAACAAACCCGGTAATTAATGAAAAAAATATTATGTGATCATCAACAGTTAACTACTAATGTACCAAATCAATTTTTAATTTTAAAAAATTGATAATTTATTTATTTTCATAGAAATAAAACACATTTGAATAAATATAGATGTTTTTTTAGTAATTTATTTGATAATTATTATTTTGTATGTTAAATAGTTTAGATTCTGATAGTAGTTTTTACATAAAAAAATAATAAGTCAATTGTTTATTATTAAATAATTACAAATCTTACTCTTAAGAAAAAAAAAAGTTAATTAGTAATTAAAACTCTACTTTTAGGTCTCATTATATTTTAGTTAGAGTACAGCTTTTGATTAGAATTTTTAAATGGTTAAATTCTATTCTAAGTAATCAAATTTAAATTAAACTTTTAAACAAATATCTGAAAATTTCAATTACTAATTAGATACAATGAAATTATATAGGAATATTTTTAGAATTATAAAAAAATATTAAAAAAAAAAAAAAAAATACAATTTGGATCAATGTATATTTATTAATTGAACTTAAAGAAAAATTCTTTACAATAATACATTGAAATATCTGAAAAAATAATAATTTCATTATAATTAGAAAATTACTTTAATAATAAAGCTTTAAAGTGAAATATTTTTTTAAATTCATTTACAACTCGTAACAAAAGCACAATGAGCTAATTTAATTAAACAATTGAACTTTTTAAAAATTTATTTGTAAAATTAATAATAATAGTTGTCAATACTCATTAAGTTATAAATTAAAGTTTCTGTTGTTAACAGATTTATTTTGTTAATTTGAGACTACTTAAAATATGAAGTATACGTAGGTATTTTTTTATTATAAAATCAATGTAATTAAAGAAAACCAGAAAAATACCTATATTTTATAATACTAGATATAATACTATAAATCCAAGTTCATGTTCATAGTAGAAAATAGGTGAAAAACATTTATTCAGTCAAATTAAAGTGCTGAATTAGAAATTGACTTGTTGAAAATTTACTTGACTAAACAAAAAATATCTTGATCTACTGTAAATGTACAGAATTACTAGAATTATATCGATTCATAATATAGGATTACAAAAATAAATTATTTTATTTACCATAACTAATTTTTAAGAAAATTATTAATTAATAATTAAATAATAATTACTTAATAAAATCTTATATTAATTTAAACTTAATTTAATACGTCAACCAAGAAATAGATAATTTTATAAGGATTTAAAAATCTTAAATTTGTGTGTTTTGATTAAAAATAAAGAAAAAAAATTTTTGGACACATAAATATAGGAAATCTTGAATATTTGCCACTAATACTGTTTTTTTTGTATACTTTACCAGATTATTTTATTTTTAGGTAATTAAAGTCATTATATACTTTTGAACGATAATTACGTAGTTGTATTTAGATTTTACTTTTGAAAATTGTATAATTAATTATTTATAGAATTATGAAGAAAGGTTTTTAAGCTATTTGCTTAATACTTTATACACGTCAACACTCTGAGTAATCTTGTAATAACTATTTATCAATAAATATAAGTTTTTTCGACGTTTCCGGAGGATATTTATGAGAGATGGCTCAAGTAGCAAGCATTAATGCATCTTCGAAAATGTTGTAACAACTAATATTTTATTAAAAGTTACGATGAACTTTTGTTGCTCATTATTATTATGAAGACATTTTTTTTTAAGTCTTAATAATGAACTTTATTTTATTGTAAATGAATAAGACTGATATGTAGGGGATGTTAAGTATATAAATAAAAAGCTTTTATTGTTCCAATATTTTGTAACAATCTCAACATGTTCTTTAAACTATTTGTTTAAAAAGTATTTATTATTCAAGTAAATTAAATATGAAACATCATTAGATTTATCAGGAACAAGTCTAATAGACAACTGTAAGTTATTCGGATTCTTCAGTAAGTTGGCATATATGAAGTATAAATCAAATATTAGAGCGTATTTAGTAAATCGCTTATAAACCTTTCTTTATAATTATACAAATCATTAATTATAATTAATTCTTAAGTACAATTTTATGTATACAATTGTCATACGTAAGACCTAAATATCCCATCATATTTGTCGTTAAAAATGTATAAGACTGTATTATATCATTACTTTAATTGCTAAAAATAAAAAAAACTCTGCAATATTATTTTATATATCTTACACTTTTCCTTGGAAAATATTCAAAAAATCAATATTTTTTGTAAGTTTTCTAGATTTTCCTAAAATTTTATATAACTAGCAGTTTTTTCGATTTATATTTATTAAAATAATCACAAAGTTACTATCTTTTACATCATTATAAAATTATATATTTGTTAGTTAAATATAAAAAAAGTTATACTCAAAGTTTCAGCTTTTTTTTTTTTTTAAAAAAAAGACTTCAACTGAACATCAAAATAAAATATCAATTAAACAGTCCCAAATTTTGCACAAATCTTATTAAACATACTGAATCCCCTTAAAAATTTTTTTTTAATATTATAATAATATTTTTGTAGTATTATATTTTTTATGATAATTTCACTGTGTAATTATTGATTCATTACTAATTAATAATTTTCTTTGAAATATTTCATAGTTATTCTTATTCTTTATAATAATTACTTTATGTTTAAAATTATTTGTCAAAATCTTTCTGAAAACATTTAATTTCGATAACAGTATTTAAATACCTAATATAAAACCTTATAATTTTAAGTTATGTTATATATCTAAAACTGAAATAAAAATCTAATTGACGATTTTACAATTTTCTATTGTGACTTTACATATTTAACACTATTATTAACTTTAAGTCTCTATAGAAACATAAATAATTGATTCATTTTTGTAACTATAAAAAAAAATATTTACGTAGTAAATAGTTTTATAAAAAAACGAGTTCCACTCTAAAATGTTATCTAAAATAAGTTATAGACCAGTCAAAATTTAATTTAATTCATTCTTTATCTAATTATATAAAAATAATTATAGGTTTCTATTAAATTTTCAAAACATACCACTAAAAATTACACTTAGAAATAATTTTATTTTTACAATAAACTCTCATGTTAATTGATGATTGTCCATAAAAATAAAAACTTTGTTCTTAATTTTCTGAAAAAATCATTCAACGAAAAAATTGAGGCTAGTATTTATAATAAAAAACACTATAATAATGTAAACTTTTAATCGGCTCTGGTGTGAAATTTTTTTTAATTATAATATTCTCTAATTACATTAGAGGTATTTAAAAGTTAACATATACTGACAGTGACGTTACTAGGAAGGCACAGGATCCATGCCTCCTAAGATTGCAATATGCATTGCTCAAATGAAATGATGAGATATAAAAATGTCCAAAATATATTTTACTATAAAATTTTAGCTACAACACTACTTGCTATCTTTTAACATTGATTTAAATTATTTGATCAGATTTATTATAATTTTTGTTAATGTATTTTTAATGAAAAATAATATATAGCCTGAAATTATATTTAAATTTTTGTTTTGGTAGTTGATTAGCAAGAATGTTTAATTAAAATATAATGTAAAAATCAAAAATTTCGATTGTAGTTTTAACAAAACTTATTGATATTTACCTCAAAAAATTATTAAGAAAAAATAGATGTACATTTCATAAAATAGGCAAAAACATTGATTTCAATAAACCTAAAATTTTTTTAATAAATGATCAGCTAAGTTAAAACTTATAAACACATATGTACAACAAATAAGTACATCATATGGATACAATATTATATAATATAATATGGTTGTATAAAAAATATAAGATTAAACATTTTTACATATTAAAAATGTCCAATTTTTGGCTTTCTAAATAATTTTTGTAAAGAGAAATTACCTTTTTTTGCAAACCATTATTTCTGATTAGTTATCCTTTAATGTTTATTGTATATTTTCTTTAAATGAGTAACCTGCAGGTCTGTTAACTGTAAATTTAGAATTTCATTTTTTAATATATAATTTATATTTATAATAAAAAAAGAAACGACGGGATAGTTAGATTTCAAAGTTATTTGGCTTTTTTTGTAAATTTAGTATGTATAGTTTTATATTTCTTTTAACTTTATAGTCTATTAGACCATAAATTACTGTTTTATTTTTAAGATGATTAAAATTATAATTAAATAAAATATTTTTAGTTTGATTTATAAAAATAATAAAAATTGTTATATGGTTATATGATTTAAGAATCAAATCCGTGTAAGTATTCGATTACGTTAAGTAATTTTAATGAGTTGGTAGATTAGTATAACATAATTTATGGGCCACACACGAGTGACATTTGTATTTTTTTGTTGTATTTATCTAAGGTATAAGATTTTCTAAGCAAAAATCACTGTTATGAAATATGCACAATGTTAAATTTCTCCAAAAACTAAAAATAAATACTTGTACCTAAAATGGTGTGAGCATTTTATATAATATAATGTAAATTATCATAAATTTTAATAGTAATATGTTATTATACAAATTGAGTATTAATTGATTTAAAATAATATTATTTAAAATTAAAAAAAAATTGGAAAATTAAATTTTATTTTAAATGATATAAATGTGTAATGAATGTAATTTTTAACGTGTAATTTTTATCTGTTGTTCAAGTACTTACTTTATGAGCAAATAAATTTTGATTATTAAATTATCTTTCGCTTACTTAATATAAAATAAAAAATAAAGTTTATGAAAATAATGAGCCAAAAGTTTATAGTTCAATATTTTTTATTTCTTTTAACATCAAACTAATTCGATTGATTGTCGTAGGTACTATAAATTAGACTAATTATATTTTCTACTAGATGTATTAAAAATAATTGTAGGATTAAACACCTTTAAAAAAATTGCAATTATTGTATTAAATGTAATTTATATTTTGCTTGAGATAAGTAAATAACTTTGAGATTCATTGTTTTTATTAAATGTAAATATAATTATGGATTTATTGATATTGATTTCAGATATGTAATTATTTAATGTGCACATGTCTTCATTCATCGATAGCAAATATATTTTATCTAATTAAATATAACTACATTATAATAACATTCATTAATATTTCCATAAAAAGGTGGTAGAAATTAAATTTTATCATATGATATACTCCGATATAATAAATTAATTTCAAGCGCCAATAATATAAATAGTTGCTCAGGTAAATCTAATAATGTTGTATTAATCACGACTTTTTCAAAGATAGACTATAGTCTTACCTCTTTTTTAAACTTCAGGCATTAATTATTTCATCATATAATAATGATTTCAACCAAAATTTTAATTGCTGTTTTGGCTGTAACTGTTGCCATAGTAAGTAATGTATTACACTATTTTTTTTTAAATTAATATACAAAATATATTATTTAATTATTTCAAATATAGGTCTATGCCCAAGAAAAATGGTCAACCAAATACGAAAATCAGATTCATGAGATTTCCAAGCAAATGAAAGAATCTGGTACCAACTCTGAACTCACTGCACAGGCCAAAAAAAGTATGACTAATTTCCATGAACATTTCAAGTCTGATTTAACTGCATACTATGATAAAGTAATAGATTAGAAAAATACGATTTACGATTCAATACGATTATAGTAACGTACAATTATGACTAATTTTCATATGTTATTAGCTCGCAAAAAACCCTGAAGCCTCTAACGATTTAAAAATTTCTGTCGGCCAATGGAAAAAGAAGGTAGATGAGTACGTAATAAATTTTCCTGATACCATGACTGATGAAGTTGTTGCTGGAAAATTTGTTGATATATTGAATTACATTATTCATCAATCCGAAGAAGTTTTTCCTAAAGCTCAAGGAAAATCTGCACCAGAAGAAGAAACTAAAGCTTTTATCGGTAGTATTCTGGACAAATTGGTCGACTGTTATAAATCTTTACAGGTATGTTTGATATATATATTTAATAGCAAAAAAATTTTAAAATTTAATATATATGTTTTAAAAAAAATTTCAGACAACAGTAAAAGCTTAAGTCGTAAGAAAGTGGATAATGACAGTTTCAAGATTAAGGAAATGCAAACAGTACAACATCAATTATAATAATTATATTATAAAATAAATAAATATGTATGTAAATTTTATATTTAATATAATAAAAACCTGAAAATAAAAAAAAATTTCATTTTAAATGACGATTTATTTGATAAAAAAAACCTAATAACTTATCTAAATATTTTAATATATTATTTGTTTAAATCTCTATGTTTAAACTGAGAAACGCTGCGAATTATTAGATAAATGTAAGAACGAATAAAATAATAATTCAAATAATTTATTTACTTTTATATTAATTTAAAAGACATTCTTAAAAATAAATTAATATGTTTTATTTTATTGGTGATTACATATCAAATATAAATATATTTAATGAATAAATAATAAAATAGCAAATAGAAAATACAATTGGTGTGAGCTAAATTAAATTCACCTCAACATCGGTAAAAATTAGGCTTACCTAATCTGTAATTAGGTTTGGGTTCTGAATATTTTCAAATATATTTGATGAATGATAAAAATTCATGTATTAAATATGAGTTTTTCTTATAACCATTTGATTTCTCTTAAAATAATGAGTATTTTAAAAATATATATTTTTATTGCATTTTGTTAGTTCCATATGTATTGTCATTAATCTGTTTTATAATAATTTTCATGTCCATATCTTAATTCCTATAGGGATGTCAACTTTATTCGTTTAAATAGCAACATATGCGTTTATTTATTTTTTCCAAACTATCGTTTATCCTGCAAGGTGCAAAGAGTATAGTATAATAGATCCAAAAAAAAAAATTAATTAGTTAAAATATAACAAAGAATAAAAAATGTTTTGAATAATATTGAACACTTTACATTTTGAATACAAAATTTTAATTCGAGACAATTATCAAAAAATTAATACAAATACTTAACTTTGGATTAATCTGATAATTGATAACATATTTAATATTGATAACATAGTTTTTATTTTGGTAAATATTGTGATATTGTGTATTTACATAAGACACAATAAAAGTAACTTTAGAGAGAAAGTTACGGGTTTTCGCAAAACCTTTTAAAATTTAAAAAATATAACATACTTAATTATATAAAGTCTTGAATTCAATGAAACTAAGTTACAACGACGCTGTACATTGACTATAGGATGACCTAATATATTGAATTTAAACGCAACAAATCAAAGAAATTTTTTTTGTACTTTTTCAATTTTAGCTTCGACGCGAAGCTGATTTTTTAAAAATTAATAATAAAACTGTGATGTGTTTTTTTTGTGCCTGTTACTACTTTTTCTTAGCTCTCACCGAACCAATTTTTTTCAACGATATATCAAAATATCACAAATCATATTTAATCGATGACATTACCCTCAAAAATTTAAAAAATTTCTCTTGTTCCCCGTAAGTGGGAAAATGACAACTTTTTCAACTTAACTTTTGAAGGTGTTTTAGAAATACTGACACTTTTATATATATCTTAAATTAAAGATAATTTTATATAATTTATATGGAAAAAAAAAATTCCGACTTTATTTTGTCTTTACAGTGAAAATGGATACCAAATGCTATTTTTGCATGAATATTCTCGATTTTATATTTTACATTTTTAACTTAATATTTATAGAACTTTTTGAAAAATCTATGTATCAATTTTTTCATGAGAAATACTATTTATATACTTCTTTCATTCGACATACCTTTTCTTAAATCGGACCATTTCTCTTTATACAGGGGGTGTTCAAAACTTAAAAATGCATATAAATAGTAGAAAAATGTATGGAACTTTTTTTAAGATAAGTACTTTATTCATATATTATACTTATAAATCATAAAACTTGTAATTAGAATATTAATAAGGATATAGGAGATCATGTAGCTTTTGGCATAGTCTATTAATTTTTAAAATTAAACATTATCTAAATATTTGCATCGAAGCGTTTTTTATGATAGTGATTTTAATCACTGTCAAATATCATTATACTTGACCCAACTATGCCACGTCCCCCTGTGTTGGGTTTTTTATTCTATTTGGCCTACTTAGTTAGGGACTGCATACCAAATTCTAATACAGAGCGTAGAAGAATAAAGCTATATTAAACATTTAACATTTTAAAAATAAGCCTTTGCACATAAAGTATTAATATGTGTTTTAAAACTAAATGATAAAATTATACCTATATGTTTTACATTATTAACTACCTTTAGATTAGTATAATCTATATAGTAGTTGGATAGTATCGGATAACAATATCGGTATATTTGACAACATTTACTTCCATTAACCGATAGATCATTATAAATGTACCAATTAAGAGATCTGTTTAAGTCTCTTACAAATTTTATACAATTATTATAAGATTTTATCACTATAAATAATTTTGAATCGTCATCAAATATTAATAATTGGCAATAATGAAATATTGCAGCTAAATAATTTATAAAAATGAAGAACAAAATGGTTGATAAGTTTAATACGTATGCATTATTAAAAAAAAATAAAGTTGATGTAAGATATAAGTGATGGACCTAAAAATTATTTTATAACATAAATTGTTGGTGTAACATAAGAAGAGTGTATTAATAAAAAAGAAATTTTTTCATATAATTTTATTTAATTATTTTTATTGAATTTTATTTTTAAACATGCACCTTTAGAAGTATTTCAACTTAAATTGTAATTTTAAAATCTAAGAATTCTATCGTTTTAACAATTAATTCTATGAAAAAAAACTAAAAAATTCAATAGAATAAAATTAAAAAAAACTTTTAATTAATCCGTTTTTTTGATTCCTAATTGACGAGTAATAATACTGAAAAAAATATTTGTATTTTTTTATGATATGTAAACTGCATTTAAAATTATTTAAATACAAAGGCAACTATAATTATAAGTAGGTTGTATTGTGTTTAGTTTTAATTTAAAATGACATATTAATTGAATATAATTATAATTGAAAATAATAAGATACTATTTATTTCTGAATTTTCAATAATGATATAAGAATATGCTTACGCTAAATTGTTTATAGACCCATTAATAATGTTCAAAATTTAATCCATATCGTTTTTATACGAAAAGTTGAATTTAATATTTTTCAATTTATAAGAATTTTATATGCAGAATAATAGTTTAAAAATTAATAATATTCATCTATATTAATTACATAATTATAGAATAATGAGTAATCTGTACTGGAACTAAAATTTTTATTATCATTTATAATTTATAAAAAACAAGTACAAAGTTCTTACTAGAAATGTAATCAAATTTTATAGATGACCTTTAGTACTAACTGTGTCTTTACCACAAGCAGATGGAAAAACATTAAAAATTAATAATTATTATTTTAAACTATAATAAAATTAAAATTAGAATGATTAAAACTAGATTTTTTTTTTTTGTCATATTGACTATGGGTGTTATTCAGGTTAGTATTTTTTTACATTTTAAATTTTTATGAAAAGGTATACATATTTTACTATATCTAGATCAATGCAATATCTGTTGAAAATGATTGGGTCATCCAAACTGAAAACACTATGAATGATCTTACAAAAAAAATCAAAGAATCTATGGATAATAGTAACACTGAATTTATTGAATCAGCAAAAAAAAAATTAAGTACTTACTATGAACAGTTTAAATCTGGGCTAACTGAATTTACAGATAAAGTATGTTAAAAATTAATAATGATTAGATGCTATTACTATATTGATTTTAAAATAATCTAAAATTATATAAAATTACTTAAATTTTTACTGATAATAATACTTATTTTTTGTAATTGATTAAAATAGGTAAACAAAATTATTCTAGAAATATTTGTATACGAGATATAAACTGTACCAAGTAACATTTTTTCTTTTTTGAAAATGAGGTGATAATATTTAAAAAATGCTTAATTCATAAGCATTTCAAATATAGTCTTGAATCATTTTCAATAAAAATGTGACTTTTGCTAGTTCACAGTTTTATGTACAGAAGAAATAGAACTGAATTTAGGTAGCAATCGAATAAATGCTTAAAAATAAGAAAAAAAAGTAGAGCCCCGCTAATTTTATCACTCTTACTATCAAAATATCAAAAATTCAAAAGACTACTTCAAAAATTCTGGGCTTAATAAGCTATATCTTTGATTAATAAATGTTTTAAAGAAATATATTTCATTCCATTTCTTAATCACCTTATGAAAATTTATTTTATTTTATTATTAGTATACAAATACACTAAAAAAATTTCAATTCATATTTAGAATTTCTCGTTTTTATTCTTAGATTATTATTTTCAGGTATTTATATATAATTTCTGTATAATGTTATAGGATTTTAGGACTTTTTAAGTAAAATTTCATGTTACAGTTGTATAGTTATAAGTTAGCGAAGTTAAAATAAATGTTGTGAATATCATACTTTACCAAAGTTCTTTAAATTATTATTTATTGTATTGAAATCTCACTGGGTTCAGATTGAAAAGAAGGCTTCTTCTTCAGATGCGGTAAAAGAAGCCGTCAAACAATGGCGTTCAGGTTTTGAGTCATACAACAGAGCACCTCCAACTAAATTAACAATTGAAAAAATTAGTGATAAGTACATAAATGTTGCGAGATATATTAAAGAGAAATCTTCTGATCTATCCAAGAATGCTCAAGGAAATGCTGAAATAGATGAGGAAATAAAAATGTTCACACAAAAACAACTCAATGATTTGATTGAAAATCTTAAATCCGTTGAGGTAAAACTTCATTGTGATACATAATCAAAAAAATAGTATTTATCATTATGTCTAATATTACAGAGTCAAATATCTACCAAACATGCATAATATAGATACTGCAAAGAAAGTTAACTAAACGGGATTTCACATAATAATGCCAACTTTACTATTTTTTTATTCTCAGTAGTGTAATAATATTTTTAAGTCATTTTGGTTACCATACATTTATTTATTTATTTAACAGCTTGTATTATATTTTTAATAGTTATTATTAATGAAATTTGAAAAATTTAATTAATCTATAATCATATGTCATACATACATTAAATAGTGATATGCTATATATATTTGTATTGATTCATTTGATTTATTTAATATATTTTCTCTATGTTAATAATTCCTTTTTTTTAATTGNCAATTGATTTATTTAATATATTTTCTCTATGTTAATAATTCCTTATTTTTAATTTATAATATTAAATATCCATTTAATATTACTGATCATAATTAAACAAATTTAATTTTTGTAATTTAATTTTGCAAAATAATGCGTAAAATGGTCTTTTTAGCTTTTTGAATTCTATTAGATTATATGAATAAGCAATTAACTCTTGCAATAGAGGTAAAATTTATTCTTGAGAAAAATAGCTTTTGATAAATTAGAAATGCGACATGAGTTTAGGGTGGCGACAGATGTGAGTTTTGGGTACAATATCAGACACAGAGTCCGTGATAAAGCACACTAGTGAACTTTTTTACCACGATATATTTATGTAAATATACTCATACGCACAAAAATTAACAATGCCTCTTAATTGCAATCCCTTGTAAAATAAAACTAAGATAATATATTGTATAACGTATGAAATGTCAACAAGTGAGCGATTCATGTCTAGTTTACAATACTTTGAGTGGTAATTTAATCAATAATACTCTTAATTTAACTTACATCAATGCAGAATTATTATTGATTTTAATAGTTTAAAGAAATAATTAATATGGTAATTTCCATTATAATTGTTAAAAAAATATATTCACCAAGTCCTTACTATACACTTTAAAATATAGAAAAATGTATTTTATTTAATTGAAAAATAACATTCTGTGAGTTTAATGTACAAAATGAATACATTACATTACAATTTATGTACTGTCAATCCATTTTAAGATGGATCCTAATTTTTTTGTTATAAAACTGATTGTTTTACAGAGAAAAAGTAATAAATTGATTATTAAAAATGTAATTAATTAAAATGGCAATGAATTTACTATCAAATTTTGGATTAAATTTAGGAAGAAACCCCTTTAATGAATATTAATAAAAATATAAATAGTTGCCATTTAATAATTAAAATAATTAATTAAGTAAAATGATTACATGATTGTTTTTGTAGAAATAATATATTATTTTAAATGTTAGTTTATAAATGTGTGACAAAATTAAAAGGTTAATGTAATTCAGATCTTTAGTGTAGTTTTACTGATATTTTTTTGAAACCTCTACTACCAATAAATATTCTCTTTTTGTGTACACATTTTATCAACAGAAATAATGTTTACTCCAGTTGAACAATTCATTATTAAATCTCCCTGGCTGTAAAATATTTCTTATATAACAAAAGAGGAGTGTTATGTGTGAAAAACACTTTGTTATTGTACTTTATTTATATAGGAATACATTATTACATAAATATTTTATACGACTTTCTATTGTAAGTTCATTGCATATAATTTATAAAAGTAAAAATGTTGTAATCTTCACAAATACGAATTTAAATTAATATTTTGATTATTTCGTATACTTCATACTAATATTTTAAGTGTCTTAAAGAAATAAGTATTAATTGTGCAATGTTAAATCTTAACGTATACTTAAACAAATTCTGATATTAGGCTTCATTAAATTAGTATCATTATATGAATCCTAATTTAACTCAAATAAAAATGAATTTTTTTTGCCTTGCATAAGCAAACTAAATTTCCTAATTAGAAAATAATATGTTTTGTTAGATGTTTTAATCTTATCGAATTGAGTTTCCTAAATATAATTTTATTCATATGATTCTTCATATAACTTAAATCTATCTATGTTTATTTTGTTACCAATAAATTGATGTATTGATTTATTAATGTTAAATTTTTTTCGTTTTTTTAAACCCTATAAGGGTCCATAGCGGCCTCCTCAAAAAAGGAGAATTTTTAACAATTGATACTCCGAGACGAGGAGTGGTTAGTCCGTAACTGGGGTGAGGAATTTATTAAACAATAAATTAAATTCATATAAATATTGTATACATGAATCCTGTAATAATTGCCTTTTTATATATTTTAAGTTCATATTTTATTTCAATTTTAAAATATAACCAATTATATATATATTTTTAAAGCGTTCACTTTAAGTCTACTTTAAGTCTTAGCTAAATGAGGATAATTTATCTTAGATGACAGTGAGTATAGTCTTTTAATAATAATGTTTTATGCATTAATTCTAATTAACAATTTACTACTATAGAAAGTGTAAGCAGGTACTTAAAAATAATTCTAATGTAAATCATTCAATAATACTTATTTTACAATTCATTTACTTGTAAAACAATATTTTTCGTAATTTTTTTTACTCTTTTTTTTTAATTATACAAATGTTGTCGAATAGTACAATTTATTGATTACCTAAAAGTGTCAATTTTTACTTAAGAATCATTTTAATAAACGGTTCACTCAAGTATAACAATTACGTTAAAATAGTGTGATATGTAAAAAAAAATCTCATAATTGAAAAACTCTGGTATACTAAAATTAGTATGTGAATAACTTTTCCTTGAGTTATACGAATTCCATTTCAACGTAAAAAGGTACATTTTTGAAAATATTTTACATTACGCATAATATTATTGTATACTTATCATTGAGTAAAAACAACATTTATGCGTCTGAGTATTTTATTGATTATATACAAAAAGAATGAAAATATTTGCAGTAATATAAAAAAGGTACAATACAAAAAATAAGAAAAAATAGTAACGATTTTTCATGTAGTGCATTTGTTTTATAAAAATAATAATATTATAAATCATTAAAGGCATTCTTTCCTGAATTGATTTTAAGTTTTGTAATTTTATTAAATTCTTTGTTATGAATTAATTTAAATAAGATGGATATTTTACAATAATACAAGTATTTAAAAAACAAATAACACTAGATATAGTAACAAAAATTTTGTAAAAAATTAAGTGATATAAAATAATATTACGAAAATTGATAGCGTGTAACAAATATTATATAATGTTATATTTTAAATTTATTTTTTATTTAATATAACATAAAATAATTTTTTTTTATAATTATTTTTTATATCTAAATTAAAACTGAGCCAAGAAATTATTACGAACTTGATTGATAGCTTCTGTGATCAAATAATTATGCAATCTATTTTGATGGTTGGTGAAAATTTTAGCTAATAGTACTCACAATATTTTGGATTGCCGTTGATTAGTAGTGTTTTATTTCTTAAATTAACTTTTATAAAATATCGAATACATGGTATTAAAAAATATACTTAAAGGAAAATTTACTAAAATCAGAAGAATATTTTTGACATTAAACTGTGATTAGTATAAATATATTTTTTTAAATTAATTTCTGTGAACTATTAAATTAGACTATCAATGACTAGACTATTTTAAATTAAATTGAACTTAAATCTATATTGAATAATTTGTAAGAAAGTAAATAATTAAAATATAAAATTTCTAGTTAATAAACTCTTAAAATATAATATTATAAAAAAATTCCGTCGTTAGCGTTGTCTTGGATTTATGGTAAAAAAGTTTTAAAGCATTTTATGATCTCTATTCAACACCCATGTTAATAAAACAGAAAACAAGTAGTATATTAACTAAGTTTTAATTTTAACAAAAGATTTACCCCAGTTTATCATGTAGTGGACCTATTTACAAAATGTGACTACAACAAACTTAACTTGTACAACTAAAACTTTCATTTACCATTAAAATCAAGTTTGAGTTGGACTTGTTAAACGATTTCCTCACTAACGCGAAAACCATCCTCGAGATTTTAGAGTTTAGTTTAATCGGATTTTCAATAGATGAACTCTTACCGTTAGCATTGGGGGAACAAATTGAATGTAAAATCTGATCACGTTATCTTATTAAAAATAAAATAAGACAAATGAATTATCTCCTATAAAGCTTAAAAGTCATTTAATGAATATTTTATATGATTAAAATTATTATACTTCTCATATGATACTCTTGAGATTTTTTATAATCGTCAAATATTGAAAATTACTTATGTAAGATAAAACATTAATATCGTTAAAAAACATTTTGATAAATCTTCACATTTTTATTTACAAATACCACGCCAACATTTTCAGCTGTCTGATAACAACAGAATTGTTGCTATATTTTTTAGGTCACAATTAATTGTTTATTTTAAAAGTTTTTATTTTATTGAGTTAGACTATGTTTAAAATACTTTGGTACAATATTTGTCTAAATTTACGAATGGATACAAAATATTTCACTTTGTTATATTTATAATAGTTGACCTATTTAATTTATCAACGCTTCCAGAAAAGCCTTACATCTAGCGAGAAAACAAATCCCATCGCTAGTAAAACAATACTTTTAATAAGTTTTGATATTGTTGCCATAAATTTGAAAAGTATGCTAGTAATCGTGTAAGAGTCTGTTCAATACGAACGAAGTCATCAAATTGTCATATCCAATATCTAATCGACAACTTTTCACTTAAGTTTTTTTGAGTATTCTGCCCTGGTAATTGTTAGAAAATACTTTCTATCTGTACTTTAAACTTTTCGATAAATACCCTTGCCGGTTAAGATGTAAAACTTTTGGGCTGCAAAACAGTAATGGCGTTTTCTGAAACTTTATGAGAAACGAAAAAAACGTCTTCAACTACAGTGTTATTATTTACAGCGACTGTGATGCTATAAAAATAGTTTACTAATAAACGATGATAGCTAACGATATATAAGAGCGATTCCCAAATATTCTATCAGCTAAGAACAAAATAGTTAATATTATACCCAAAAGCAAGTGTGCGGTTTCGGTCCTGACGATGGTTTTATGTGGTAACTTTGGACTATTCGGTAAGCGAAAGCGATTATTGAATACGTTTAGGAATTTCATTATTACTTTGATGGAACAGATGATGACGCGAGGTAAACAAAGATAGGTCAAGCATTCATCGTAAACTGTATAAAATCTAAAAAGAAGATGCTATTATTTAACTAAAAACGTTATTTTTATTCTCAGTAGAGGGTATTTATTTTCTTAACATTTCGTTATTATTTTTATTGATTCAATGTCTATCTGATATTCATTTCAATTTATATATTTAATGTTCTGTTCT